TAAAAATTAAGAATTGTTTTGGAAGACTGGTAACATGGACGTATGTTCACAATACAGTAAGTAAAAAAGTTTAACATTTGTATTTAAAGTATGAATTAAATATATATTCATACAGAGAAAAAAGGCTGGAGGATCATAGCACCCAAAATAGTAATAATAGTTATTTTTAGTTGGTAGGTAGCATTATGGGTAACTTTTATTTTCTTCTCTTTGCTCATATTCATATTTTGTAAAAATTTATAACAAAATGTAGAATTAGTCATAAGAAAAAATGTTACCTTAAAATCTTGTTAAGATGAACTTAATTGAGTGTATAACCCACAAAGAATTCTTGGATTCTCCCAAGTCTAGATTTCAAAAAAAATGTGCCAGGCACTATGTCATCTACAAGGATACACAGATCAGATCCATTTTTTGCATTCTAGAGACGAGTTCTGGCAGGAAGTTTTGCAAACAGTTGTGAACAAACAACTAAGCTTTGTATGAACCATTTTCTACTGATTTTCTTAATTGTGTAGAGGTGGCACGCCTATTCGAGATATTGCAGACTCAATTTGAAGCCACTTCCAGCAGTGCGGCCGTAGACTCATTAACCTCTCTGAGCCTTGGAAATTATTAAGAGCACTCTATTAGAGAAACATAGCTATTGAAGATAAGCAGACAAGAAACACATTATTGTTTGGGGAAGGAATTAAATTTTTGTTACAATTTTTACTTGGACAGAGCTAGATTTCTTTTAGATACGGCTTTTTTCCCTTGCCCACTATCTGTGGATCTGTGCAGCGCTTGGGTTTTAAGAACAGTCATTCTAAAGTGCTAGCAGTTCGGATTTAATGACTCCATTGGAAGTTCTTATTTTATGGTTCTTTGAGGTTATTTTTATATTTTAAAACAACTGTATCCTTTTAAAAGGTTAAGAATAACCACATGAGGTATAGAGAATCCAGATTTGGGTTTCCATTTGCTGTATACCGCTCAGTTTTAGTACTTCCCTCTGACATTAGAAAATGTAGGCAGTCAGATCTGAAAATGCGTCTCTCTCCAGGTATGCCATTTTTCCCGTGCATTTTGCTGAAGTGTCTGCTGCTTTGATCTCTGATCAAAGTTGCTATGTAAGCATAATGTCAGTCCATTTGAACCAGGAATGTAGCACTTAGTCTTGCCTTTTCCCAGTGGCCTTTCAAAATGAAAAATAAATCAATACATTATGTATGTATGTATTGGATATAGAAAAACAATTTAAAGTTAGGTTTAATAAGTATATATTAAAATACAACAGATTTTCTCCATTAGTTCTTAACCATCAAGAGTACTATCTTAAATTTCTATAGATGTGATCCAATATTAACAAAAGAAAAATAGAGAAAGATTATTAACTAGAACTTTCCATCAAGTCAGTGACTCACATGCTTCCACTAAAACCTCCTTATTGTTTTGTTACTTGGATTGAGACAAGCACTGTGTGGTGCTGGGAGCCCTTGTTACTGACACCTAGGTGACTACCTCATCCCAAAGGATGAGTGGCTCCAGCCTCATGAAGTCTCTTAGGTGGTGCCACAGAGCATGGAGTTAGGAGTTTTAAATGTTAGGCTGTGCCAACCCTTCAAGACTTACCCCCAGAGTCCTGCTTTTCACAGTCCCAGGGTATTAGTCTCTGAACCAGTCACTGTCTCTCATGGACACTAGGAGCTAGGAACTAGACTATGGTGAACAACTAGAGGATTTGAGGGGGCTTGAGTGTTCCCACTGTTGACCATTCCTGTGGATTTTTCCTCTGCCAGGAATCCGTTCTCTTTTCCTTTCTTGGAGGCCTTTACTCCCCACTAGAGGTCACCCCATTGCTGGACGGTGCTCTGTTACCAGGGGATCAATGTTCAAGGCTCCACGCAGGCTCTCTTCAGTACAGTAGAGAACTGTCTCCCCAGAGCTGTGCCTGTCCTTGGGAAGGGAGTAACTATTATCTTTTGAGTGCTTAAGTCATACAATGACCCGGAGTCCAAACCTAGGCAGTCTGGGTCCAGATAGCATTCTGGGTGAAGTAGCCAAGTTCTTTTAACAGCCTCTGACAGTAAAAAACTGCCTCTAGAATATTATACACTCCTAACAGTAGTCCTTCAGGAAAGTCAGACTGTATCTTGTCTTTCTCCCTCCTGCTTTTCCTACCTTGAAAAGAAATCTTCACTATGCTCAGCTTTTACGTTCATTCACAGGGGAATAGACTCAGCCCTCTGTGAATCTCAAAAGATACTAGTTCCCTGTTCATACTCACACATTAGTGTTTCTAACTCTACTTGTGGAATGGTTCTTACTACACACTATCTTTGGTAAATACCAGGACCCCTGTGAATGCTTGGTCCAACAAACTCTTCGATAAATAACCTCTTAACTGTCCTGGTTGCCTGAGTCACCCAGACAGATGATCCCAAAGAAGACCTTACATTCTTTTTGTTTGTTTTGATTTTGGTTTTGTTTTGTTTTTTGTTTTTTGCATGGGGACAATAGGTACCTTCAGACTCAACTGTCTTTTGTCCAAAATCTTTAAGCCTCCATACCAGCAATTTGCACTGCTGGCCATTTATCCTAGAGAAACGAAGACTTAGGTTTACATAAAAATATGTACCCGAATGTTTTGGAAGCTTTAACACCCCAAACTGGAGACAACCAGATGTCCTTTGAAAGGTGAATGGCTAAACAAGTTGTGACACCCTTGTCCTTTGAAAGGTGAATGGCTAAACAAGCATACCCTGGAATGCTCCTCAGATACAGAAAAGAATCACACTATTGCTATACATAACAACCTGAATGAATCCTCAGAGAATTATGTTGAGTGAAAAAACCAACCCCAAAAGGTTACATACTGTATGGCTCCATTTATATAACATTCTTGAAATGACAGAATTGTAGAAGTAGAAGACAGGATAGTGGTTTCCAGGGGATGAAGAGGGTGGGGGTGGGAGGGAAGTAGGTGTGGCTGTAAAAGGGCAAATATGAGAGAGCTTTGTGGTGATGGAAATATTCTGTATCTTGACTATCAGCGTCTGTATCCCAGTTGTGATATTATACTATAGTTTTGTGAGATACTAACACCAGGGGAAACTGGGTAAAAGTACACAGGATCTCCTTGTATTATTTCCTACAACTTCATCTACAATTATCTCAAAAAGTTTAATTAAAAAAATCTTTAGTCCTCCTCACCCCTTGAATAATAGTTAATAGATGTTCTCAACTTTTTTCACTTTTATAACTTATGGAGAGGCAATTAATAGATTCCTAGTGATTAAGGTGTAATTGGGGTCCAGACATTTTCTTTCAGGTTTCAAGTGTAATTAGGTCTAATGCATTTGTATGATATTAACTTTGAAATCACATAAATAAATCTGTAATTTGATCAAATGTACTGTCTTACGGGGCTTGTCTTCAAAAGAAAATGGCAGAAGCATTGTCTTTCCTGTGAATTTAAAGGAACTTTCTTGTGAATTTATTTTTAAGTTTTTATTTAAAGTCCAGTTAGTGAATATGCAGTGTAATATTAGTTTCAGGTGTACAATATAGTGATTCAACACTTCCGTTCAACACTTTGTGCTCCTCACAAGTGCATTCCTTAATCCCTATCACCTATTTCACCCATCCTCCCCATCCACTTCCCTTCTACTGACCAAGAAAGTTTAGGAACTTTCTTGTGAATTTAATGGGTCATTTGAGGGGGTAACTATATAATCTATAATTCTATCTCCAAATGAGAAGCAAACTTTGTCCTTTTCATAGTGTGAACCCTACTATCTTCAGACTAACACCTGCACCATTTTAACTTTAAAAATCATATATTAGAGATAAGCTCTAGTCATGAAGATTCAACCCCCAGTTGTTACAATAAGAAAGTAAAGATACACACTGTGGGTGAACTCAGAATTTTGTTAAAGCAAATTGATTAAGTGGCTCAGTAATACGAAGTTTGTCTAAAATGGTACATATAATTTGTCAGTCCTCATCTTCCAGCCTAGCGCTGATAACCCTTATGATGCAACCTGACTTATGTATTTAAATGGAGCTTCAAAAAATACCATTAATTATTCCCATATAAGTTTACTTAAAGGAATTTGATAACAGCATGAATGACCTCTAAAAGCTTAACCTGAATTTCAGCCTGAGCTACAAATTTGAGATTTTGTACTTCTATCCTACCACTTAGTGTAGTATCTGCCATATTTGGGGCATATAGTAAATGTTTAATGAATTAACACTGATATGCTGTGGACCATACTGTCTGTGCATGACCCTACTTCCATCATCCCTCAAGAGTAGAGTCCAGTGGGGCAGACCAGGCACTCGAGATGTCCCTGAGTGCAGAGGGGAAACCTGAGTGGGTCCCAGCAAGAGCATAAAGGACAGGCAGCAGCATGTTTCAGGAGGAGCAGAATCTGGTGTATGGCAAAGATCGCAGGCAGATTTGAGCCAATTTTTCTTTCACATTGAACAGCAAAAGGGGCAGGGGACAATATTGTGGGCAGATTTAAGTACCAGCATTCAGGATGGATTAGAAATATTTTTCCTTAAATATATCCTGTTTGGTTTAAATGTAAGTATTGATTATTTTTACTCCCTCCCCCCCCTTGCAAATAGCATTTTATTTCTAAAAATGCTTTTGTGTGCTACTCTGAGATCTAGCCACCATTTATAATGTGAAAAAATGCATTCTGAATTCCAGTTACTTGGGGTGAATTTTCTGAGCCCAGTTTGTCCTCTACTGATGGCACATAATTTGATTCTTTTTCTTTTATGTTTCTGACCATGCTTTCTTGTTTGTGGGCGACAAAGCCTCTCCTTAATAAGTCCTTCAGTTCTCCCTTTTCATTACTTTATTACTTGTTATTTTACCAGCCTCACAAATTGATGCCTTACCCATAGATTTTCATAGCCCCACTAGTTTCTCTGTTTGATAAAACAGCTAGACTTTCTTCATGTCACACCCTTGTTATAACTAAATTTTCTATTTACTGTAGATCCTTGCCAGCACATTTCTGGATATTCTGTTGAACCTTCTTAAGATTTCAGAGAAACTGCTGGGTGACCACTGAAAAAAAAGATCTAATCTTAAGTTTTACGTGAGTATTTTTCTACTGTCGACTTCCTCATAATATGTGAAAGCTTTGATGCCTTGCTTTATGGCAGATTCAGTTATGTGATCAAGATGAAAAATGTTATCTCTCATTGACCTTATTAAATCTGGGGGCAAAATTAGTTTCTCAAGGACACGGAAACACTCACAAAATGCACCACACTTCTTCTCACTTAAAAAATAAACAAGAAAGGCTTTTTTTTTTTTTTTTTTAACTGAGCCAACATTCGAAAGAATCCCAAGTCTTTAAACCACAAGAATTCGTACTGTGTTTGAACCAAAAATACCAAGTAGCTTGTTTTTCATTGTCTATTCTTACAGAATTTAACCAAAACACGTTATCTCTTGAAAAGCTCTTGATACGTGATATTTTACTTTTTAAAAAGTTTCAGATAGCTTTTCCTTTTTTATGATAATAATCCAGTGAATGCTATAGGGGAAAATAAGGAGGTTACTGTTCAAAGAGAATTCTTTTTTTTTTGTTTGTTTTTATTTATTTTTGAGACAGAGACAGAACATGAGCAGGGGAGGGGCAGAGAAAGGGGGAGACACAGAATCTGAAGCGGGCTCCAGGCTCTGAGCTGTCAGCACAGAGCCCGACGTGGGACTCGAACTCACAGAGTGTGAGACCATGACCTGAGCTGAAGTCGGACACCCAGCTGACTGAGCCACCCAGGCGCCCCCAAAGAGAATTCCTGACTATTTTAATGAGTAATTTCTTCTCGACAGGATACTTTCTTTAAAAAGTGTTATATAGTGGCATAATCTTAAGTTTATTTTATCTTGATCTCTGTAATTCTTAATCAGAAGCAGATTTCCCACTTATTTAGAGTTATCCTTAACAACTGCTTCTTACCCTTTATATGTAGTGGGTCATTAAGTTGAGCTAATGCTATTTTTCTGTCCCTCTCCAGTGTGCTCCCTTCTCTCTGCCACTGCCTTAGATCAGGCTGTCATCATTTATTCCCTAGATTTCAACAGTGACCAGCTGATTGATGTCCCTGTCTCCAACCTCGAATCTAGCCTCCAATCTAGCCTCTCCCTGTTGCCAACAGAGTAATCTTTCCGAAAGACTGATATCATGAGACTATGCCATTTCCTGGGGTTGAAATCCTTCAGTGACTCCTTATTAAAATTCAATATAATAACCCTTATTATAGAGTTGTGAGGAAGATTAAACAAAATTTACTGGGAACCCTGGGTGCGATGCCTGGCTTGGAGCAAGCCCTTAGCGTGTATTAATGTTTCCCCTTGTTACAGGGAACCCATGGAGGCAGCGGAGCTCTAGTGGAAAGTAACCTGTGTCTAGAGGGACAGAGGCTCTGCTGGGAAACCAGGCTAAAAGGAGAAGGGGCCAAGAATCTCACCAAACTCCGTAGCCATGCTTTCGTGAATCCCCTTGAGGTTAGACAGAAGCATAGATTGGTCTAACATCCAATTCCATCAGTGTTCCAGAAAGAAAGACTTTGTCTGATAAATTACAAGGCAACCCTGTCTGTGACTCAGCTTTTGTAACTGTAGAGGGAGGAAGTCACCTCTATAAAGACATTGGTCTCTGCCTTTGTGTTTTCTTCTTTGGGTTTGTTTTCTCTTCAATTTCTTAGTAAGGTTTCTTTTGTCAGGCTTTAACTTTTTCTTAAAGCAACCAAGAGGGGGCCAGTTAGACACACACACACACACACACACACACACACACACACACACACACACA